TTTTTTTTTTTTTAATAACGTCGCTTTTGATGTATTCGTTTTTTATGGTTGCTAATTTTAGTCGTTGTAATTAATAATTTTAACTGAAATGAATTATAAATAATTTCTGTTTATCATGAGTATTACGTGCATTTACTTTAGAATTCTAATTTTGGAGCTTTTTGTATGATTTTAATTAATTTTGCTCATTTAACTTTTGCGCATTTTTGCTTATGTAATTACTTATGAGTTTTAGTTGTTGGCGTATTTGTTTTCCGTGTTTTTGTCATAAATTGTTTTTCTTTATTACGATTTTTTTATTTTTGCTCAAAAAATGAAATTTGTATTCACTTCATGAGCTTAGTAGGATTTAAATAGTTTTTTACTTGGGTGCTTTTAAGTATGAAAACTTAAGAAAAACCCAGCAGCTATTTAGCAATTTATCGGCTATTTTTTCAATTTTGATTTTTCCAAATTCGATTTTAGTGCGATATGGTATTCTTTAGTGTTCCATGGCGTTTTTTAAAACTTTTTTGAGTTCTCAATTGTTGGGTCTTTTCCCATTTTTCGACATATTAATTTTTTTGAATCACTTAAAATCATGAACCTGCCTTAATTGATTTCGATTTTGGACATTTTGTTGAATTTTGTTTGAAAAATTTGAATTTACTTAAATTTAAACTTATGATTTTTTTACATTTTTGAATTCTGATTGATTTGCTTGAATTTGTTTAATTTTCATTTTTTTTGAATCCCAAAATTTCCCGAAATGAAAATTTCATTTCGATTTTGATTTTCACTTAATGCTTTGATTTTTGAAATGTTCAGAACTTTTCTTCAGTAATTTCTGGTTTTTTGAGCATTTAAATTTGCTTTAAACCTTTTGCAAGTTTTGAATTGCTCATAGAATTTGAGCGCTTTCGAATTATGAAATTTATCGTAATTTGTCGAGCGTTATGTCTGCCGAAATTATTTGAATTGAGAAACGTTTGTTTTTGAATTCTTTATTTCCCTATACCTTCTCCTAATTATTTTTTCCTAATGCATGTCTTTTCAATAGTTTAACAACTGTACACTTCTTATTTGTTGAATTTCGGATGATATTTCACTTACCTCTCCCGAATTTTTTTGTTTCTCTTTTTTATTTTTGAAGTTTCTACAATCTTCAAATTTATTGATTAAGTCTTCGAAATTTTTCCAATTTTTGGATTTTTTTTTCTTTTGAATTACTGATACTTCTTAGATATTCATTTTTTTTCCACCTCAGATAACCTAGATTTCTTGAGTTGTATCAAATTTTAAAATTTATTGCATTTGCTAAATTTTAAACTCTCACAGTCTTTAGATAATGTGCAGTTCGGAAGTTTTTAATCTTCCAAATGCATAATTTCGTTGAATTACCAATGATTTTCAAATTTTTGATTTGTTGAATTTTTTTCCAATTTCCTGTTTTTTTGGTTTTTCGATTTTTTTCATTTCTCCTTGCAATTTATATTGTTTGATTCCCTTTGGTATACTTTGCTTTTGTCCGTTTTTGTATTTTTTTTTTTCAATTACTTTATGTTCCTGTGCATTTTATTTACTTTGCGTTTCGCATGCACTTCTACTTGCTTTTTTTTAAAATTATTTTTCTAATTGCTTTTCCTTTTAATTTCTTTTTTAATTAAATTTTGTATTTTCCTACAACTTACACTTTGTGTTTTCCGCTTATTT